TGAACAAATGGAGTCAATATTCAAAAAACAAAGCTTTTTCGTTTTACTCCCTGACATACAGGACACTTTATATATTTGTTGAATGAATGAATTTGCAAAGAAAGAACAAAGACTTGATGACTTAAAAGCGAATGGAACTAAATGACTCTTACTTTATTAGTGACTATTGGAATTAATGTTGTAAAGAACATGGTGGTTCAGTTTCTCTTGTTTGTTTTTCATAGTAAAAGAGTTGATGATAAAGAAAATAATAGAACCTATTCAGAGCTCCCAACACACTAACAGTTGATTTTAGAATAATACAAATGATATAAATCATAGTGTTTTCTGTAAAAACAGATCTGAATTCGGGGGGGGGGGGGGTTGTTGTTGTTTCTGTTCATTTTGGAGAGTACAGGCTATATATGTTTGGTACAACTGACTGTGTTCTGAAATTTTCTGTTTCTCATGTTTCCTATGGGATAAATGTTTTTAGCATGAATACTACATAGAATTCTACTGCATAGGTGATTGGAATTGTGATCTTCTTATTACTTCATATCAAGAGGCACATAGTGTCAGGTTGCCCATCTGTTGATGATACTAACTTTGAGAACTTGGTTAAAATGTTGGCAGCTAGCTCTTTCTTTTGGGAGTAAGAAGTAACTTTGGGGGTGGTATTTTGATCCATGATAAAATTTTGTTTCCTCACAATACTTCACCCAATGACTTAACATTCATTGATGATTTTTGCTTGAATCAATTATTACACTAGGGGCTCCAAAAAGTTTTTCTGAAATTCCTTCTTTTTTTAGCTGGCATTTATTTGTAATGAAGAACTATCTCTACCTCCCTCTTTCTTCCCTTCCGCTCGTCCCCTTTCATCCCCCATTACTATGGATTTGTGGCTTTAAAATTTAATGAGTATATGAGTATTATCATCATTATTCTTTTTGGTGCTCAAATTGTCCCAAATTTTACCACTAGGAGCCCCTTCAAGCCTATGCCTTTTTGACCTAACCCCATCAGTATTTGAAAACTTCAGAATCCTTTAATTCTTAAATACTCACCCATCTCTTCCATGACCTTTGTCTGTTCTTTCTATAGTACTTTATGTCTTCCCAAAGAGTAATATGCCTTCTTTTCCTCTCCTCTTTTCAGTGTGTGGGCATTGGTGACTGAATGGGAGGAGGTAGATATTTTTTGTCTACGAGTATACTAAAAATAACATCAAACATTTGGATTAATTTTTACGTTTTCTCTATGGAAGGATCTGTGCTCTGTAATAATAGCTGACCCTATATGGCAGGTACCATTCTAAACACATTCTATGCTAACTGATTTACTTTACAGATGAGAACATAGAGGCTCAGTGAAGTTATAACTTCCCTGAATTCCCTCAGCCAGTCAGTGGTAAAGCCAGCATTGGCATCCAAACACCCTGGCTTCAAAGTCTGCCCTCTTATCTGCTACACTTTGCTGCTGTAGACATTTAGCCACCACTCTGTTGCTGCTAGCCCTGGTATTGCAGAACTCCACCAGCTTACACTGAAGCATGTTCTGATGGTGAGTTATCGGCTCACCTGTGTTTTGCTTCCTTGTAACTAGACCCCAGATTTGAAGCTCTTCTTATCCCATTGGCTTGCTAACAAATTTCTTCTCTTTGTAATGAAAATTTAAAGTGAGCAACAAAAGCATCACACCAAAATTAATGCTGCAGTGACAGCTACGATTCTTAATGAGAGACTGCATTTGGAAAAATTAAATGGCCCTCCACGCTTAATTTCCTTTGGAAAGTAATTGTCTACCAATAATGCAAAAATAGGAGTCGAGAAATATTTCAAGTAGGTAACTTTTGAGCTGAGAACTGGGTGAAGAATACGAGAGATCTTCAAAACATTCATGGAATGAGTTTTGTTATCTTTCAATTCCATTTGTGTTATCTTCCAAATCCACTAACTTTTTGAAGTACCCTCATATTCCCAGGCTAATAGAACAAGAAGTGCAAATGTCCTAATGCAGAAATGAACTTGGCATATTCAAGGTAAAGAAAGAAGTCCATTATGTCTGATGGGTACTGACCACGGGGGAAGAGTAGTAGAAGAATCATTTGGGGAGAAAGGCAAAAGCAGGCTTTCATAAAGGAGTGTAGGCATTATTCTTGATATAAAGTGAAGCCAATCAGGGACATTAAACAGGAGAGTAAAAATGTCTGATTTATATTTTGAAAGCTCGGATGTCTAGTTAGCTCACTTGGTTAGTTCTGATAACACCAAGGTTAATGGTTTGGATTCCTGTACCAGCCAGCTGCCTATATATATATATATGAAAGGTCACCCTGGCCACTCTGTAGAGAGTAGATATTAGGGAGTGAGAGAGGAAGTAGGGAGGCTATTTAGAAGGCTAATATAGTTGTCCAGGTACAAGGCAGGTAACAGGGCAGATGGAAGAAGTTGTCAGATTCATAACTGTGGACATGAAGCTTATAGGACTTGCCATCAAGATATGAAGAGAGTAAGAATGAGAGAAATCAAAAACAAACCCTAGGATTGGAATCTGAACAATCAATGGGTGGTGGGGCCATAGTCAGAGGAGCAGGTTTGGAATCACAATTGAGTTCTGATTTTTTTCATGTAAGTTTGAGATGAAAATTAGACATCCACATGCAGAAAGTTGATGAATACAGAACTGAAAACGTGTTGCTTATAAAAAAAATTTTCTCTGCCTGTACAGAGTATGCTAGTAATGACCTCCAGAATATTCTAAACCATTAAACAACATGGGGGGTTGTCTTCAGATGGGGTGTAATGAACTTGATTAAAAGTAGTTGCAACTGCTCACTCAAGTGCTTGCAGTTTATTTCAATAAAAAAATTTCTTTGAGTTTAACAAATCCAAATGTAAAAATTTACATTTGTTTCTCATTCATTCATTAATACCCTTGAGAACATTAGTTCAGTTTTAGTGCAGAAATATTCAAACTATTTTAATGAGGACTCATGTTAAGATACAAGTTTTCACAACACAGTACATGTGTAACTACACATAGAACTTCAATAGACATTTTACCAAATAATATGTGCAGTGGATTCTAATATCTATGTTATTTATTCTTTAGTTTCTGGCCAATTTCATTAAACTGGTTTAATGATTCACTAAGGGGTGACAACTCTCAGTTTAAAAAAACCCAGTTAGGTGTATCTTAATTGCTTGCCACTACCTAATGGAGAGATGCTTCTCAAACTCTCTGAAAAGGATTTTTTTCCCCGTAATTTCCAATTTTTTGTGATTCTACCCCTTCATAAATTATAATACAAATAAACTACCTAAAAGAGAAATAAAAATAGATACATAACAGATACATTTTTATTACATGTAAAAGCAGTAAATAAATAATAATTTCATAAATCCTATGGAAAATTGCTATAAAGTTTTAAAAAATTTCTGTTCCTATCTCCCTATAGATGGTAGGGTCTGTGGCCTATGCTTTTAGGAGCATTAGTGGGCGGTTGATAACAGTTTAGAAAGAAGCAGAAAGGTGTGTCTAGATGGGATTAGCAACAGCCTTGCCTAAGCATACATCATTCACCCTGAAGTCCACCTGACCTCTATGGTGAATTCAAAGGGATTCAGAATCCTATTTTAGCATTAGCCAAGAATGTAATTCATGGACTGGCATTGAGCAGAGCTGGCTGGTGAGTCCTCTCAAACTCTCCTGTGCATTTCCAGACCTCACAAGCAGAGATAGGCAGGAGACTGCTCAGGGCAGGAAGAGATCAGCAAAGACACCAGGCAGAAATGTTCTCTAGAATGCTTTAGCCAAGCCAACAGACTGGAGATAAGAATCTGAGTCCAGAATTTAAATCTGACAGGCCTTAACAGTTATTGTTCCCTAAAGACTTATCCTGTAGTATTCAAAGAAAAGGGAGGCAACAGACAAGGATGAGATGGGCAAGTTTGAAATCCAAGAGCACGCAGAAATAGAGGTCAAGTGGCCCATTGCGATCCCAGGGTACTATCAGCCTCTCTGAACTTCTGAAAGAGTCATCTACAAAATATTAAGGGGCCAAAAAGTAAGCTCTCTTACCATGAGCAATGTCCACTATGCATGCAGGTTTCTGGGTATGTTAGGTTCTTCATCTGAATCTGACTCAGACAAAAAGATCAGGTCCAATTAGTTTCTTGCTGTTAATGAGGAGGTTGAAAGGACCAAGTAGGATTTCAAAATTTGATGAGTAGGCCAGGGGCTATGGATCTCTAAAAATCATTCACTATATGAAGGCATGCAGTCAGGCAGGTTCACTACTGAGTATTGAAGTAAAAATCAAATTCTGATTTCCTTCATGACATTGTATTTAGCAAAATTCTTGACATTGCTGTGAGCTTTCCAAAGACTCAGTGGCTAATTTTTTAAGTAACTGGACAACAAGTGACATCTAACTCCTGGACAACTCCAAGGCCTCTTGAAAAGC